AAACTTAAGGCATAAAGCCAATCACTAAGCACTTAATCCTTAAGATCTCAAGTCCATCATTTCCAGAAGGATTTCCTACCCCTAAACCACCATAAAAATCATTCCTTTATGGACATGCATGTCTCATCCGAAACTAGGTCAAAATCATGAAGAAATGAATTCAAACTTATCCATGGGACCAAAAACTACAAGAAACTCTAGATCTACAACATAAAACACCAAAATGACCTCAAGGATCCATAAACTTCCCACCTTTATGGGATCCATTCTTCCAAACTTCCACAACATGAAGAAAATGGACAAAGAACTTAGATCTAGAAACATGCAACCAAAAATCTTGGAGCTTGGACACTTACAAAGGTTCAGAATATGCACAAGAGGATGATGCAGATGAGGTTTCCTTGTTGGATCAACACACTAGAACACTTTCTTCTTCTTCTTCTTCTTCGAGCTCCCAAAAGCACCAAAACGAGCCAATAATCACCAAAAGGGATTAGGGTTAGGGTTTTTGAGGTTTGAGAGTGATGGAGGATGAGAAGGATGCCCTAATCCTTGGGGCATCATCAGGGCCAGTCTTGAGGATTCAAATGCCCAGGACGAACCGAAAAAAAAGGCCCTTAGGTCCTAACGTCCGGTGAATTAAATTATATAAACCTAAGTTTTTTTTAAAACGACGATAAGTTTCAGAAATATGCTTTTATCGTGTGAAAGTATTAATTTTTTCGAGAAAATTAATCGGGTTGAATCAAAATGGTCATGTTCAGCCTCTCTAAGACTACAAGTATAGTTTTTTCGAGAAAAATGCAATTTAAAACATAAGTACTTGGTGAATTAGCAATTAATTACTTTAATGAATCTAACTTTGACAATATAAGTACTTGGTGAAATAGAAAACGAATGCAAATACTATAATAAAGTTCATTCTCCAGTTTAAATTTCGTAATTCGTATTATATATAAAGAAATTAGAGCATCCCATCTTTGGTGTAGTGCTATCAACCGACTGAATTTCTAATTGAAGCACAAACAACATGTATGCCTAGGCTTCACAATAACATAATTGAACATATTGAATATAATTGATAATTGAAGCACAAACACATACACACAATTGAACTTTTTATATCAAAAGACCAATTGTTTAACATACAGGTTTATCATTTCATTTAAAAACAACAAATATAAAATATAGCTTCATCTCCTCCTACAATCCAATGCATTAAACAGATTTCAATCAAGTCATAGAAAAAATCAACAGGTATGACAGAAACAATAGTACAAAATCAATAATACAATCAAGTTAATGGAAAAAAATAGTAATACAAAATCAATTATCTTGTGAAAAAATCACAAAATTAATCTAGATTTTCCATATAAGAAACATAGGAAACGGGAAGAAACAAGAAGAAATCCAGGAAAACGTATCAGGAAGAAAACGAACCAGAAAGCCAGAAACATATGAGACTAGTTCTTAATAATTCCTATATAAGAAACATCAATCACAGAAGAATTAAGTTCAACTAGTATGCAAATTAATTCAAAATCAATTAGCTTGTGAAAAAATCATAAACCTGCATGCACCAAGAAAACGAACCAAAAAGAAAATGGAAAACGATCGAAAGCGAAGAAGGAGGCTAAAGGATTGAAGCGCCAAAGGAGGAAGAATGAGGTCGAAGGACTAAAGCGCCTAAGAGTATATTAAAAAAATGGGCCCCTAAAATTTTGGTCCCTGTTCCACAGCCCAGCTTGCCCCAGCCCTACACTGGCCATAGGCATCATGCTTAAATACGAGAGAAACCCTAAAATAATGGGCTGGTCCAGAACAGATGCTACGTCATGGCCACCTTACTACCACATCCTAGTACTCATCAGATAGAGGCATTCCTATTTAACTCATGCTACGTCATAAGCATCCATGCACTACGTCGTGGCATGAAGTTCTTCCCAAAAACTCCATTCTTGATCCCGTCAAGTCTTAAGCTAAACCAATATGGAAAACGAGTGTTACTGTAACATCTCGGGAATTATAAGATTCATATTGCATGCATAAGCATGATCCAATCAAGTATGGAGGTTTTTCAAGCCTAGAACCTTATTGCTAGATTGGTGTTGGAGGCAAGGCTCGAATGCGGGGTGTTCATATCTTCAATGCTCAGCGTTCGGTGCATGAAACTGGACGCGGAGGCCAAGACGAACGCGGTGCGTTCCAGGGAGGAACGCAGGGTGTTCACCGTCTGCACTAAAAAACCCTAAGTGTGCACTATTTAAACAACTTAAGACCCAAGGCTCTTCATTCTTTCAGCCTCCACTGTACCTTAAGCCTCCTTTTGAAACCCTAACCCTAATTGTGAGTGTGTGAGCTTGGAAGACCATCTTTGAGTGTATTTTGGTGTTCTTGAAGGAGAGTGATCACCTTGGAGTCTCATTGATCAAGGAAGAGCTTTTGGATACAGGTTCTCCAACTCATTTGCAAGTCTCAGAAGGTATAAAGTTTTTATCTTGGTATCTTATAGCTTAATATTTAGATTAGGGCTTGTTTTGTGCTTCTTATGAACATGTGGATGCTCTTTGTGAGTCTGAGTCACTCCAAGAGCCTAAGATTTATATATCTTGCCTTTTCTGAGTTGATTTTGATTTAAAGTTGGAGTCTTGATACATTAATTCCTCCCATGTTTGAGTTATTGGTCACTTTGTGAAGTTTGGGTGTTTGGAATCATGTTTGGGTCCTTTTGGACCATGCAAAGGTGACAAGTGGTCGACTTTATGGATTAAGACACTGATATGGACCTATTTGGAAGTTCTGGACGTTGGGCTTAAGCTATTAAGTCATTTGTGTATTTTTGGTTTCTGGACAGGAACGCCGTGCGTAAGGCTGGGGAACGCTGCACGTTCTGGCTTGGTGTACCGATGGATGGTCCGGTGACGAACGCCCAACGCTCCACAAGGGAACGCCCAACGTTCGTGTCACCAGTGGACTTTTGGGCTTTTGGTCTTGGACTTGGTTTTGGGGTTTGGGCTTTCCGTTTTGGGCCATGTGTGGACTAAACTGATTGAATTTCCTAGTTTGGGCCTAAGGAGTTTGGGGTTGGGCCTTTGTGGGCCCAGTTTGGATTTGGGCCTTAGAGGGCCTAGTTGGTAGTTGGGCCTTAGTGGGCCCAATGGGATTGGATTAATATTGGGCCTGATTAGTTTGACCGTTTATGGATTAATGGTTTTGTTTTGAAACTCAATTGTTAATTAGATGTTGTTTGTTTGATAGCGCGGGGTTTCTAGCGAATTTGCAGTCAGAGATTATTCGTGGGATCAGCTGTCGAGGTGAGTCTCCTCATTGTTTGTATGGGTCGAAGGCACCAATGCCGACCCATTTGTTTTATGTATTGTAGGAAGACCCGGGGGTTAGCCCTAGGCATTATGTATGAAAGACCAGGAGGTGGCTCCTGACACACTATTGTATGCTAGTTGTCTTTGTGATACTTGCATGGAAGACCCGGAGGTGGCTCCTGGCACTTGTCTGTAAGACCCAGGGGGTGGCCCTCGGCTTGACAAGAAAGACCACGAGGCGACCCGTAGCATAACGACAAGACTATGTGCGACACATAGCATCTTATTTGATTATGATATATGTTTGATATGTATGGATCACAGTTATGTATGACATGTATGGCTCAGTTGATATGTATGGTGTGTGGTATTTGGGGAACTCACTATGCTTCGTGCTTACGGTTTACAATTTTGTTTCAGGTACCTCCAGTTTTCAAATAAAGGAGCTCGGGACGATCGCAGTGCACACACCCATGTTTTTCCGCAATGTGTGATCTTTGAGATCAGACTCTGATATTAGTTTAATTGAAATGTTTTCAATGTCTGGAACAAAGTTATTAAAGTGTTTTTCCTATATTAAAAATGAATTTTTTACCTTGAACTTTTGGGTCGTTACAGTTACAAGATTGATGCTTTATAGACATGCATGTCTAATGCATGTCTTGAACTCAAGATGGATCAAAATGGTTAAAATGGGACCAAAATCCAATGCATGGATTCAAAACCACACCAAACTCCAGATCCAAAGCATATAACCTACAAATGACCTCAATGATCCATAAAGTTGCCAACTTTATGGAATCCTTCCACCCAAACTAGCTTATAATTGAAGAAGAGGGGACAAAACTCTAGATCTAGCAACATAGAATAATAAAGCTTGGATCTTGAACATTTACAAATGTTCAGAGATGCCCAAACGGAGTCTCAAAGCTGGCTAAGATGCTCCTTTCACCACAAAGGTATTTTTCTTCCTTCAAGAACCACCAAAAACACCAAGATGGCCTCAAAAATAGAAGAACGGGATTAAGATTTCTTCAAGGGGGGTTTAGGAGGTGATGAATGCTGATGGTGGAGAAAACCCTAACCCTCACTTCCTTTGAATAAGGTCCAAGTCCGGAAATTAGGGTTTGCCCCTAATTTAGTTGTCATGTCATGTCACCTCAACGAGAAAATGCACCTCATATCGCCATGCCACGTCGTGATGATACCTTCATCACGTCGTTACCAACACAAAAATCATAATTCATTTTAAATTCCATACCTCGAGGATCTAGACGTTACATGCTTTAGAATATTGTATTATACATCTTTAAAAAACATAAATTATTATGTATGAAGAAAAAAATAGTATACAAATTACTCCTCTTTGTGTATGATACTTTTGACTTTCTAACACCTGAGGCACTTGAGCTCCTCAATAAAATATAACAACTATTGTATATAAAACAGTTTTATATGACTTCAAGATTTATATATGTAGCCTTTAAAAAAAATTAGTTTCCTATATTAAATCCACATAAAATACATATTTAATTGACTTATAAATCAGTATTTAAGTTGTAAAGATTCACCTCCCAATTCTGTAAAAAATTAGCAACTCAAATTGTTAGTTAAAAGTATCGGGACATGTCGAAACCATAAATAAATCGTTTGAAACGTGTTTTTTTGTTTGGGCAAACTGGCAAAGCGTCGTTGAAGTTGGTAACTTATATAAAACTCGGAGAAAAGCGTCGGGTAAAGCTGACCCGAATCCAAAATATGCGGGTGTACTTGCCCTACAGCTATCACTATGTAGATTCTCGGTAGTGAAAATAGGCAACAATTACATTTAATCACGTTATCTTTATGAAATTTCAGTCTTTCTGGATCGGATAACGGATAAACCCTAAAACTCAGAAAGGATCACACCTAAATCAAGCAAATTGCAGATACAAATCTTCACTGTTATCTCCTACAAATGGATAATCGATTGCCTCCTAATTCAGAGAAGTTTCATCTTGCTCCATCTGATAATCGACCACCCCCAAATCAATTGAACGCAGAATTAAGGTATGAGTTCTTAGTCCCAGCTCATAACTACAGAGCTTACGTATTTCGAGCTGTTTTACTCGGTAACGGAATTTAAAATGTTAATAATTTGAGGAATTAAGATATGTTTATGAGTTGTTCCTTTCTAGTGCTGAAGTTTCATATAATTGGATTTAGAACTTCGCGTTATGAATGCAAGTATGATTCAGTATGATGTAGTTCAATGATTCTGAACTTTAGATGGCATGCTTTTAGGTGAGGGATTTGGCTTGATTTGTTTAATTTTGGTATGTAATGTAACTATAACTGCAAGCAATAATTGTCTGTAAGATGAAGTTCAATGATTTAAAACATTAGTTTTTATACTTCACTGTTTAAGCTTGCTAGTTGCTAGTATTAATGAACAGTTTTTCTTGATTTAGACTGGATTGGAATTCAGTTCCATTCAAATCCTGCTTTTAGTTGCAAATGAATACTGAATTGCAATCCTATGGAATTTACAAGATCCTTTGCATCAACTTTTCATGATTTCATCCTAAAACCCATTGAATTCAATTCCAAGCACTCCTTGTTAAAAATACTCAGATATCCCTTTAACCTAGAAGTTCATGTTAAAATTGTTAAATTACCCCTTTAACCCTAACCCTAGAAGTTCACAAGTAAGTGCTTCTTGCCTCTCACTCTCCATCTGGTTTCCCCTCATTTACCTCACCAACACTTGTGAATTCCAATCCTGTTTCTGCCAACCAAACACATGACATAATTCAATTCCTTCATATTCCAATCCATTGACAAATTCCAATTCCTTCCAAAACATTTTGTGAACCAAGCACCCCTTACACTATGTTCTCAAGTTTGGTGAGAAAAGCAAGTTTAAACTAGGAGAGTGGATAAAGGAAAAAGAAAAGGTGTAATAATTGTTTTTCACGCTCTTAAGTTGGAAAGAATTGAAAAGAAAACATTTTATTTTAATTATTTTTCATGTTAGTAGTTTCAATACACATCTCCAGTTGCCAATATATATCTCCACCTTCTTTCTTGTACTGCATTTGACATGCATTAAATTGGGACTAAATCAGACAAAAAAGGTGGGACATGGACTCACTCTTGATTGTTTGTCTGTGCAAAAGACATAAATGCCCTCCTCTCCGAGTCATTTCCCATGTAGCAAAATGCACCCTTAGTTTTACTTGTCCTTTCTCTTACTTGACATTTGTTTATTGCTTCTGAAAGGCCTGGATTTGAACATAAAGACAGAAAGCTTCAAAAGGCTGATCGTGAGAAGCTAAGGAGAGATCGTCTCAATGAGCAGTTCACTGAATTGGGAAAGACATTAGGTATGTCACCATATTGTTGCTATATAATAAGAAAAATGGATAAATTTGTCATCTCTTCATCGCATTTATATAAATAAGAATCTTATATCATCATTGGTGTATAATGTTTTGTTGACTCTTTATCATTGGTTTGTAGCAAAAACCACAAAGTAAAAAGAAACACCTATATATATATAGCTTATCGGATTAAGTTGTTACCTATTATGTCAAAATAAAACAATACCATGTTTAATTTGTTGAATATCTTGAGAAATGTTTTTCTATTGAAGGGTAAAATGGTCATTTACTTTTTCATTCAGACGGTTCATATAGTCCACAAGTCATTTTCTGTTAAGTCCATTAAGTAAAAAGAAACGACACATTATCACACTTTCTATAATGTGTTGTCAACTTATCCTGTTTGTATTGTGTTTCTTTTTTAAAATTATTCGGTTAATGTTGTTGGATATATTGTAAGTTTAATGCTAAATGTTGTAAACTTTGAACAGATCCTGATAGACCTAAATTTGATAAGGCAACTATACTCTGTGATACAATCCAGATGCTAAATGATTTGACTGCTCAAGTCAGCAGATTAAAATCTGAGTATACAACACTCACTGAAGAATCCCGTGAGGTAACTTTCCAAATTTTATTATTTTTTAGAAATAATTAAGTAAAATCACACATTCATGACTTTTTGGATACTTTCCAGCTACTTGCTATTATAAGTCAAAACATACATGTATCTGCAAAGTAGAAGATTTAGTTTGAAACTTGAAAACACTTGGGTGGTTTTTGGTATGATGGAATTGGGGAAAGGATGGAATGGAATGAGAAAAACTTGTTTGTTTTGCATGATGGAATGGAATAGGTGATTCTTGAAGGAATGTGATTCCTTCCATTTTTTAAATTTCATTCCACCATGGTATAATATAGAAATTGGCATTATAACTCATATTTATTCGTGTGAATTTTAAATGACACGGATATTAATTTTTTTTTTTTTTTTTTTTTTATTGTTTTGATTAATTTACAGTCTTGTTTTATAAAAATAAATAGAAAGTATATTTCTATTGTAATCTTATGTGGGTTTTAATGAGCTTTTATGTTACATTTTTTATTTTTGTAAATAAAAAGTTCATTAAATCATAAGTAAATAATGTATATTGTAGAGCTTTTAATGAGCCGGGACTAAAGTTGTGACCTTTGGTAAACCACAGGGACCATTTATGTAACTTTGTCTTCATTCTATTACAACATTGTAGTTTCAACTTTTTTGTTATTAAGAAAATGTAGTTTGGATAATTTACCCAATTATAACATTGTATTCTCACCTTTTTCTTATTAATCTATCTAATTATAGCAAGCAGTGAGAAATTGAGAATAGGTTTATAAATAGATGATATATTGAGATTGGTTGAATTGAATGATAACAGTTGACTCAAGAGAAGCATGATTTAAGAGAAGAAAAAGCATCCTTAAAATCAGATATTGAAAATCTCAACCTTCAATACCAACAAAGGGTTAGGGCTAGTAGTAGTATATACCCATGGGGGGCTCATATGGACCAATCAGTTGTAATGCAACCCCACCCCCCTACCTACCCCTACCCTATCCCTATGCAAATGCCAATGCCACCTATGCACCACCCTCCCATCCAACCCTACCCTTTTTTTGGCAACCAAAATCCCGGTGGTGTTGTTCCAAACCCGTGTTCCACTTTCTTTCAATACGTATCTCCACCACCTGTTCAGCAACCAAGTAGTAGGTCCCACGTCTCTACCAGACAACCTTCTAAAAATAAGTCATCAAGTGGAAAAAATGAGGACTCTAATGATGTTGCTACTGAATTGGAGCTAAAGATGCCCGGATCTACACTAGATCAGGTTACAATTTCTTCTATTTCTTGCATATAACTGGGTTAGATGTTAAGAGTAAAAATGATGATATTTCATATATAATATTATACACTGTAGGAGGGGTCAGGGGGTGAATCAAAGTTGAAGAAATCACATAGGAAGGAGAATAGCATCTCAGATGAGAGCTCTCTTAGTCCTAGCGGCTGTTCATCATCGCATACTGTACAAGCCAGCTCATCAAATAGTGTCATTGGCGGCCTCAATGGTGGTGGTGACCGCTAGGACCACCGCCATGCCACCACCACTTTGCATAGATTCCTAACTTTTCACTCTCACAAGTCACAAACAAAACACAGGTACTTAAAAAGAAAATTAAATCCACTTTTTTTTTTTTTCAATTATACGGTTACATCATGATGATGACGACGACAACATGTGTTTATCGTATGGGCTCCTTGTATGTATAATGTATGTAACTATTGTTTTATTAGAAGAAAAAAAATAAAGGAAGTTATTTAGTGTATGATTTGGATCAAATATGAAGTATAGGCAATTTAATTAATAGTTTATAACATGTAATGTAAGGCATGTTTATTATTTTGGGTTTATCTCAATATCTTTCGTAACATATGCATTATGTTCACAAGTCGCAACATATCCCTTTCCTTTTCTATTTGTGGATTTCATTTTCTTTTCTCCTTATTCATTGCATATTACAATTTTTTTAAACGGCCTTGCGTATTGCATGTAACGAAATTCATATCACAATCTTTAATATTTTCATAGCATGAGATATTAAGTAACAATACATTATGACAAAAAAAAATATTGGATAACCAGAAAGGTCAGATACATGGGTTTTAGGTCCAGCTTTCGGGCTATAATTTTGTCAAACATAATAATGGTATAACTACTTATTCAAGGGATAAATTTGAAAAAAGAAACAAATATCATGAAATATCTTAGTCACATAAGAATAAATTTGTTTGGGCAAAGGTTTTGGGTCCATTTGGCATTTAGATACTATGGATGCCAGGCCACTCGCTTGTTATCTATCATTTATACACGTGTCAACAACATATGCGACCCCCAATCTTTTTAATTGTCTCAAATAAATAATTTTCTATCTACTTAATTATTAAATAAGTAGGTGTGAAACTCATTTATTACATAAGTTTATTTAAAAAAAATTAAATATAAAATTTTAACAATTTGAAAAGTTTGAATTTATAAGAAAAATGAGAAATCTTTTGAATTATTAAAATTAATGAGGCTTTAATGTATTAGATACATTACATATATAAACTCTTTCTAATAAATAACTTACATATATATTACCTTACATATTAAATGTGTAATTTTAATTTAATAAAATGAAAAATACAATAAAATGACAAGTGGAAAATATAAAATTTAAAAATGTTAGAAAATGCCATGTGTCCAAATGAAGGAGAAGAGGACATGTGGCAAAAAAAACCTTCATTTATTATAGTAGATTTTCTCAAATTATGTATTAAGTCAAACTATGTTATAACCCGTTGAAACCACGGTTACCGAACTAAAATAATATTTGTACTTCAAAATCATAATTATTAATAAATGATTTTAAAACCATTATTAACTTTCAAATTTAGATGATTTGTCAGTAACTTTATAATTGTTGATTTAAATTAATGTATAAAATGATTTGAAGATATGAGCGGTGTTATTTACATGTAGAATAATGAAAAAAAAATGATAATGTTATATAATGAAATATAAAATTGTATAGTCTGGAAAAAATCAAACACGGTGAATCATGGAAATACAATTGTTATATGACAAATCTAAAATTAAGTTAGCGTAAAATTATCTTGTTTGTCTTCATGGAAAATAGATTAACGGTTATATATTGTTATCTTGTTGTCTTTATGAAGAATGTGCATATGAGAACGGTTCACATTGGTCCTACTTGGAATGGGAAAATGGAAAAGTAACATATTACAACACCTTATCATTAATAATTAAAGGTTTTTCTTTTAACCTCTTTTGCCATTATAAAAAAGATAATATTTCTTATAAAATGATATATTATTTCTTAAACATACCTGGTCTAATATGGTATTTCTGAAAGTTATCAATGAATAAATTAAGTAATTTAAACCAAAATGATGCAACTAACCTCAATTTCATAAATCCATTTTTCTTTAATTCAAACTCATCGACCGTATAAGTTTTATTTCCATTCGTCTTCAGAATATCACCTACAAAAAGAACTCATATTAAAAACCACAAATCCACTTTCTGTTTTCCAATACGATGAAAGAAAACATGTATAAAATCATAAATCTCTAATACCCTTGTACCAAATACGATGAAAATGATAACCCAAGTTCAACAAAACAAACTCCACATTATGTCATCCAGATCATGGCCATTATAAATATAGATGTTAATTTCTAGACGTCCAAATCATGTAAGCACCAAATATAGGACCTTCAATAGTTGGTGCCATCACCATTGAGTTTGTATTGCTCAAGACATTAACAATCATAAGAATTATATAGTCCCCTTCAATTTGTATCCAAGTTCTCCACTCAAAGTTGACTCATCTTTATCTTGCAGTTAACATATCAACAAATTCTAGATAAGGTACTTCATTTTCAATTGAATATACACAAAGAAGACCGGATAAAAAATCATAAAAACCATGTCAATTGTTATTCCAAATCATCACAACTATTTTAAAACTTATAAAAAGATTAACCACTTTTCATTTTCATCATCTTTCAATCCATCAAACCTAAATGAAAAAAAAATGAAAATGAAAGATCTTTAAAGTTCTATGTCGAGTTTTAAAAAATGATTAAATTCCCATATTTTATAAACATATAAGGTGAAACCTATCTCAACATATATGTTGTATGCACATAATCTTCTACCCTAATTTGGAAATTTAAATGAACACGAAAATGGTTTCATTAGCCAATGAATTATAGCCGGAAAAAATTATATTGTTATATAATTCATGCCAATTTGACAATTTCATCATCTTCTTTCCTTCAAAGATATCATGCAAGTATTTAATGGAAATAATGAAACAATGAGTATAACTCAATAGAGACATAAAATCAAACACTTATCCTGCATCAAAAAATAAATGAACAGTAGAAGCCTTAAAACTTAAATCCACTATGTGGATCACACATGCACAAAAGTTAGAAATTGGCTGCAAAAACATCTCTTAAGACGATTTCAATAATACTTATTAAAACAAACTTAGACAAATTAAATCAACTAACATGAAATTTTGAAAGTTGACCTTCATCACCAGTAGAGGGGGGTGTGAAGACCGACCTTAAACGACCATTTCAAATCCTACAAGCAAATCCTCAATGGTAGGGTTAAACCCTGCAGGAAGGTTTATGGGTAGTAGAATATTTGTAATCGCATAAAAGATGCAATCCAAGATAATCATGGATCCGCTATCCAAGTCAAATCTGAAAGAAGATAATTCCCGATTTATTGCGATTATGTAGATAATCTTTTGTTTTGATTTTATGGGATTATTCTTTGAGCGGCAAATGAAATTCTGGAAAACACAGGAAGTTGACACGTGTCAATTATAGGCTTTAGAAAGATGCCAAGTGGATTTTAGGGACTCATTTATTAGAGAGGTAGATTTTGTATGTATTTGTATTCCAAAAAAATTAACAAGGATTTGAACTGATGCAGAGTCATTTATTCTGTAAAAATATATTTTTGATTTGAAATAAAAGATGAGTAATTTATCATAAATTAATTTTTTTTAGAGAAGATAAGTTAAAACATGATGTCTCAAGTCATTTGTTTATGATATAACTAGTTTATAATCTATGGAAACCACAGTTACAAAATTAACTAAACTTTCATAGTACAAACTCAAAATTATTAATTAAGTTAAATAAATTATTAATTAAAAGATATTTTTAGTTATATAAAATTATTATCGTTGATTCAAATAAATATGTGAAATTTTATCACGTGATAATCTTTATTAACTTTATTTTATTTTTTATTCTAATCTTATTAATTTAATATAATTAGAGTAAGAAATTTAAATCTTGAAATTTGAAATGGATAATTAATAGATTGACAAATAATATGACATTAATTAAGACGCCTAATAGGACGACAAATGATAAAAAAACCACTTTTTTATTAGTATAGGGAAATGTGCTGAGTTTAATCCATCTTGGAATTATAAAAAAAGAACCATCTAACTTGGAATATAATTGGTATTTATTAACTTTAAATAAAAGATATTGCATCTACCACTTCGTTTATATCGCCATCAAAAAAATGTTCTCACGAATCGTTGGACCTGTATTCATGGACCGCGTGGTCATTTTATGATACTTGTAATAATGATCATCTTAATATTTCAACTTAATAAATGATTATGAAAAATATCTCTATTTTTAAAATAGAACAACTCAAGAAATTACTTAACAATTTTCAAATGGTTGGATAATCCATATTAGTAAGGAGACAAATTGACAAGAATGCCCTCGTTGCTTTGAAAGATGGCATCTGGACTTTTTGGTTGGGCGATGGGGGCACACACAACTCCCATGAGGCCCATCCCTATCAACATAATAAGTATAGGTGGAGTGATATGTGGCACATGTGATGGATGCGGCATCACTCATTTATCATCATGTATGTCTTTTGATTATTCGTTGAAAATAACATGTTTAAAGTTAAACTACATGTAAAGAGTAATGTAGTTTTACCCCTTTTTCAAAAATAGCGTTTTTTCATTTTTAAATATATATTCACAACCCGTTTTATTATAAAAATGGATATTCGATTATATATTTGTGTTCCATGATATATTCACTCGGTATACTATACGTGTAATTAAATTTATAATTTAATCATTAAATGAGGTAGTTAGATTAATTGAATTATTGTTTTTTGGACAAAATTAGGATATTTGGATTGATATATGCGATTTCACTTTCTAGTTTCAAACCGATCCAAAACAAACCAAAAGCCAAGTCTTGAATATTCAACTCGAGGACTTTGTTTATATATATATATATATATATATATATATATATATATATATATATATATATATATATATATATATATATATATAAGTTTCAAACAAAGAGATCCAAACAAGATTAACCAAGAAACCCACAAACTGCATATCCTTTTATACGTGATTATCTAATATTAAATGATAAAATAAATAATAAATTGTAACAAAAAAGTAATACAAATAATCAATTATTTAAATATTTAAAAGAATCAATTAATCAAATATTTAAAAACAAATATAAATATATTTCGTTACACGCCCCAAGGGAGCGTAAAAAAGGACTTATCGTGTAAAACAAATCAGCATCATTAAACTCATCGCCTCTCGGCCACCTTTACACAACAACCACAGTATCCCTAGCACCACCACTTGTTACCAACTACCGCCATTTTCGTCGCCTCCAACCTCCGAATTAGGGTTTACTATGGCGATGGTTTCAACTTCTCTTACACCAGCATCCCAGCTCTCCGGTGCTAAATCC